GTTCAGCCTTTATTAGTTTGCAAATATTTGTGGACCATATTACAATGAAAAACTGTTCAGGCAGTGCACAAGAGTCTAAAGTACAAATGAAAGCAAACCATAGAAAACAGACAAAACAACAACAAAAAACAATACAACAAAACTAAGTCAAAACCAAACTGAAAGTGGTGGCAGAAGATAGAGGGTTGCATTAAACCAGGTCTTTTAATCAAAGCCACCTAGCTCCATGTCTCTCCAGCATATTTATTATCTTAGTTAATGCATGCATCAATCCATCATAAAGATTCATTTGGCGGGAACGAGCAAATAAACGAGAACCCAAAGACAGGAGGCTGAGTTGCTAGTGTCATACAAGACTCCTACCAGCTAGGGTATGACAAATAATGTGCATCTTGGGCATGAGGTCCTTCTTGGATTCAACGGAGCCCCAGTATCAGGAAAATGTGTGTGGTCAGGCACTTGAAGAAGAGGGGAGGCATCAGGGCATACTGTGAACGTTTTCCTCCATTTTTACATTATTTGCTACATTTTTATCCAGCCATTACTCCATTATGGGACTTGAGCTGTCATACATGGGTGAGAGGTTCCCAGAAGGCCTTCCCGTTCAGATACTGACCAGACCTGGAGTTCCTTAGCTGAAGCCAACTAGCTGCATAATGTATGTTCCAAATGTACTTTGGATCCTTAACTGGATCAGCATCAGATGCACCCCCATAAATGTCCAGAATATCAGCCTGGCCATTGCAAATACTTTTTGGGGGGGAGGGGTATTTGTGTGTGCGTGTGTGCACTTGCATGCCTGGAAGTCATGGCAACTTGGATGTTTTCAGAGAGGTGGCTTGATAACTTGCCTCTGCGTCCGGAGCCCTGGTATTCCTTGGAGGTCTCCCTTCCCATTGCTTGCCAGGGTCGGCCCTGCTTAGCTCCCAAGATCTGATGAGATCGGGCTTGCCCGGGCTATCCAGGTCAGGGTGCAAATACTTTTGTCTTTAATCTGCTGGAAACTAAGGAAGGTGACCTCTCTCACAACCATTACTAAGAATTTATTAAGAACTGATGAGGCGCTTGGTACTGTATTTAATGTATCATAGAGGGCCTATATCTGACAGAGGTGATTGAGATAGGATGGGAGTAGGGTGGGGGCACAGGATCTTTTCCTACTCTGATCAGCAACAGCGCAAAGATATTGCAGTGTTGCAGAGAGGATTTTGGAGCACAGCTCTTGGAGGCCTCTAGGATGTGCTAGGGACTCTCATTGTTACCTTTTCAATATCGCTGCCCCCCAGCAATGGCTCACTCTTATGTGAGCCAGCCCTGTTGGGACAGCAGAACAGGTATTATGACAAAAGCGCAGTTCATGTGTTAATGAGAATGCACCTACTACCTGTGTGCATGTGCATATACCTGTGTGTATGTGCATATATTTGCCTTCTATCATCTTCGGCAGATCAGGCAACTGGTTCCGTCTCTCTGCCCCCATGACTTAGAGGAATTTCAGACAGATGATATAATCCGGAACGGTTCCCAAACGGTTTCTGGTCTGTCATTTCAGACAGAACCATTTTAGAACCGGTTTAGGAAATGGGGCTGAAGCGTTTTACCTGTCAACTGCTTCCAAGTAGTCTTCAGTTTCCTCTCCCGGTTCCGATGCGCTTTTTCCTGCCGTTTTTCGCCCGCGCGGGTGACCTCTGGCTTTTTAAAAAATGTTCACTTTATAGCGCTATAGTGCTATAGTGCTATAATGCTATAACACAACAGCATTATATCAACCCCATTGGAATGCCTGGAGTGTTTTGTTATAGTGCTATAGTGCTATAGCGCTATAGCGCTCTAAAGCGAATGTTCAAAAAAAGAAAGCCAGAGTTCACCCGCATGGGCGAAAAACGGTGGGGAAAAAGCGATGCAGTCTGAAATGGCAAACCGCTTCAGATCCAGCTCTTTACCGGAAGGGGAAAGCCATGTGTGAAATGGCAGCCTTATACCGGTTTACTCCATGACGGATCAAAAACGGCTTCAAAACGGGTTAAAAAGGGTAATGTGAAATTCTTCAAAGTTGCAGTGACCCATGCTTGATTACTGTAACTCGCTTTACGCGGGCTTGCCCTTGAAGTTGATCCAGAAACTCCAGCTAGGGCAAAATGCAGCAGCCGATTTGCTGACTGTCACGTGGATTCAGCCAGTGCTGGCTCCCAGCTGAGTACCAGATCCATACCAAGGTGTTGGTACTGACCTTCAAAGCCCTGTGAGGACAGGGACTGATATATCTAAGGGACCGCCTTTCCCCATATGTGCCCTGGAGAGCATTGCACTCAGCGAACCAACATTTGCTGGTTATCCCCGGCCCAAGGGATGTCTGCTTAGCCTCGACCAGGGCCAGGGCTTTTTCTGCCCTGGCCCCAGCCTGGTGGAACATGCTTCCATTGGAGATCGGGGCCCTGCAGGGCCTATTACAATTCTGCAGGGCCTGTAAAATGGAGCTGTTCCACCGGGCCTTTGGGTGAGGTGGCGGGCGTCCAATTATTCCATCTACTGGCCTCCCTTGCTGAAGCTTCCATCTAGTCTAGTTTACGGCCCAGCGGCTCCAGTTTTCAAGACGTGCTATCTGTCCTAAAGCTTATAGTTTCTGTTTCTAATTGTTTTAACTATTTGTTGTGAAATGTTTTAACTCCAATTGTGGATTTGTTGTTGTGAACTGCTCTGAGCCCACTCATGGGGAGGGAAGAATACAAGCTGAAATAAATAAATAAATAAATAAATAAATAAATCCTGTTTGTAAGAAAGAACCAATGCACGTTCACTTTACAAATGAAACCAGAGATCCGCACCTGGACAAATGTGGGGTTTCAATCACTTTTCTGGCTGTACATGTGTCAAATGTAACATGAGAATTACTCATTGTACATATTAAGAAATATCAAGTGTACATGGACTGTATGTGCATTCACTGTAACTTGGGAACAGGCCTTCTGAAGCAAGCTTTCAGGTAACGTTGGACTGTTCTGGAGGCAGGCTAAACATTCTGCTTGACTCAAAACTTCATGTTCTCATGCTAGATGGAATGTGTCACTCTTAAGAGCTGTTGTGGAGAACAGGTTTGTCAGTGGGCTTTAGGGATGACAGCTAGGAACAGTACCTCCATGTTCAGAAGCAGTGTACCTTTCACTATCAAATGCTAAAGGCAAATGTAAGGAGTGGCTCCAAAACGGTGTCTATGCTCTCAGAGTGTCTCTCTACGTTTAATGACGATAACTATACAGTCTACCTTTTTCAAGAGAAGGTGACTACAAGAGTGGGTAAGAGGAGAAGATTGGTTACTACTCTCTAAAGAGATTCCAAGTCCCTTTGAAGCTCCTTTCAAACAGCTTGCTTGACTTTGGGCTTTTGCTTGTTGCCATTTCCTGCTCTTTTTTTCTAATCTTAAGGGGTGGCTACCTTTATTGCCAGTGAACATCCTAGGGGCATCTGGTGGTTGCAAGCAGAGACCAAGCACCAAGCAAAAAAGTTATCTTTTCTCTGGCCCCGGGTGGCGCTTCTCATCCTTGTACTCGTGAGAGAAGCTGGCTATTAAGTCTTTGCGTGAAATGCCAGTCTTTAAAGCACGACCATGACCTGATGTGATGTGATGGCTTTCTGCAGTGTTTCTGAACATTTAGTACTATGGCTCCTGAAGACCAATCATTGCCTGGTTGTGATCAGTAGATTAATCTCTGCATTTGATTTTTGATAGTTACAATTGGATAGATAATCTGCATTGGACATAAGGCTATGGTGGTACAGGTACGTAGTAGAGGCATATTGGAGCTGTGATGATGGACAATTTTACAGGCTGGTGCAGATGTTTTTAGACTACTGGATTAATAACACACGTTTTAACATTCCCACAGTGAATATTTATATGTTCTTTTTTGGTGGGAGATACTGGAAAAATAATTACCAAGGGAGAATATAAAATAAAACTGACTGGGAGCTCCCTTATTTTCCACATACAGTTTTGATTTTGTTTTTAATTTGAAAAAGGAACTTGTGGATGCTTGAGCTCCAACCAGGGATTGCTCATTATGTAACATCCAGACTGATGAACTGGTGGATTTCTTTGTGGGGTTATCTTTTGCTTTTCTAGTTATTTGTACAAGGAACTTCCTGTGCCTCTATATGCTCTGTAGGTGCCTAGAAGCTTTTAAAAAAAGAAATACACACTTTCACCGATATGCATATTCTGCTTAGCGTGCAAATTGTAGCTTCATTTGTTAATTGCTATAAGGTTTCTTTGCCTCTTTTGTGTAAGCTTAATTAGTGAATTGTTGCAGCCATATGAGGGAGCCTAAATGTATCTAAATTGTCTTTAGTAAACACATGGAAAAGAAATGAGTTCTCCATGCAGCTTTCTTCAAGGGAGTTTGATTTGAATGGAATGCAAACACACAATTACTTTGAACTTCCATTTTGGTCTTCGGTTCCATTCCAATGCCCCTGGAACTGTCTCCCTGTCCCCCCTACCCCATCTTCAGTCAAGTGATAACTGGAATTTGCCGTCAGATGTACAAAATCTCCCTCCCCCTCATTAAAACAGGGTTTTTATTAAATGGTCTCTCTTGTATCCTGTGGTGTTGGGCTTGGAAGGAAAGAATGTTGAGGATTTTGAATGAGTTTTTGCCACTGAGGGTTTGAGTGGACTCTGTTGTTGTGGGGTTGTAACTGTACAATACAGTCGAGCATTAGAGTGCATCGGAACATCTTGCAGGATTATTCTTGCCTTTTCTCATTGTGTCTGAAAATGCAGGATGGGGGAAGCAGCAAAGGGTGGGAAAAGAAAGCCACCTGCCCTTGTGGCAGATGCCAAGGTTCAGGTGAGGTTCTTACAGCCCAGTTATTGTCAAACAAGAAAGGAGCAAGACTGCAGGAATGACAGGGGCAGACAATGTGCACACGACAACAGTGTGTTGTTTCGATGGCTGCTCTCACTTGGCCTGACTTGCCCTTTTCCTCCTCCTTGTCTCCAGCTCTGAGCTGCAATGAGAATGACGGGGACCACCTGGACCGCGACCAGCAATACCCCAGCAATCAGAAAACAAAGCGCATGAGGACATCTTTCAAACACCACCAGCTGCGGACAATGAAGTCTTATTTTGCTATTAACCACAATCCAGATGCCAAGGACTTGAAACAGCTCGCTCAGAAAACGGGCTTGACCAAGAGAGTTCTCCAGGTAAGAGAGGCTGAGGCCTTGGCTTTTGCCCCAAGCAAACTGGCAGCTTTCTGAAGTGGCGGAAGGACGACCCTGTGGCGCCTACAGCTGGGTTTGCGGGTGCCAGTTTGCAGTCTAGGCAGGCCAAGGAATGATCTGGCTCTCTGCTGCGTCGTCAGGAGATACTGCCCCCCCCCCGGAAACTGCCATTGCGTGAGCTTTGAGAATCATGTGTGGTTTTCTAAGAAAAGTTTGCAGAATCTGCAATGCATGTGCATCCCATCCTGCCCATGCACTGTCCTTTTTCTTAAGTACAGCCAGTTTGATCGAACACTTTCTAAGTTCCCTATTAGATGTTGAGCAAACTACTGTCTGTGTGTTTCTGACTACAGATTCAAGAAGTGAAGGGCACAGTTTAATTCTCAGATGTCCCATAGGCTGCTGATCACCATCTAAATGCACCCAGAAGGGCTTTAAAGTGTAAGCAGGAGGGGGAGCCCCTGGGTGAAATAACACAAGTGTAAATGAAACTCTGGCAACATTTACCCCCTGGGTGGCTGGGTGGTTGCAGATGCTTTCCCACCAGGCAGCCTAGCTGGTTGCTGCCTAAAACAAACACTTTTCTATCCTTAATGATCTGTAAGACGACAGCAGTATCAAAACAATTCAAACCAAGTTAAGCATCAGTAAAAGATCTGCATAAACAATAAAGACAGATGGTATTGCTGTGGTGCTTGGTTAGGTGGACACTTCCAAGGCAACTAGACTGTGTCTGAACTGCAGGTAAGCTGGCTTTTGCTTGCAGCGGTGGCACAAATTCATAGCAGGGTCCCCTGCTGGCTATGTCTGCATGCCATTGGAGAATGTTTGTGACATCCTCTGTTTCCGGCTGCGCCTTCCAATTTTTTAAAATAAAGATCCAGTGGCACCAGACGGGAAATCGAGTTCTCTTTTTTGCCACCCTTTGTTAGTTTATTCTGACTACCCCACATGCACACCCTTTTAAGAGCCTTACTGTAAGTTTTTAAAAAAGATTTATGCACCAATGAGAATGAAAAAAGACATGTGGAAAGAGCCTACGTGGGCCTGCTTTTAACCATGGTTGGGTGTGATGTGGGAAGTTTGAAGCATGAGATGGAGGCAGGATGGGAGTGGAAATCCACCTGATCTCATGATCTCCAGTTGCCAGCTTGGTGCCAGTTCTTTCATGTGGTCAGTCCATGGAGGTTGCATGGCGGACATGGAAGGTCCAAGGCAGACGGAATTTGTGCTGTGCTGTGCTGAGCAATGTTAGCAGAGGCTGATCCCAAGCCAGAGCAGCAGAAGGGCTTTAAGCAGCAATGGTACAACAATTGGCACTGTATACATGGATTCACATCCATTATCTGGAGAAGTTAACACTAAATATAACCCTGACCTCCCCTCCCCCAATGTTGTGTGCTGGAATGGGTTAGATACCTTGTAGGCATAGTGAGCTGCGGTGGCTCAAGTGGTTAAGACGCTGAACTGCAGGCTGTGGAAGGTCAGTAGTTCAGCAGTTCGAGACCCGAGTTGCCGCATGACGGAGTGAGCTCCCGTCTCTAGTTCCACCTCCTGCCAACCTAGCAGTTCGAAAACAAGAAATTGCAAGTAGATAAATAGGTACCACTTCGGTGGGAAGGTAACAGGGTTCCGTGCGCCTTGGTGTTTAGTCATGCTGGCCACATGAACACGGAAACGTCTTCGGACAGCGCTGGCTCTTCAGCTTTGAAACGGAGATGAGCACCGCAACCCTAGAGTCGGACTCGACTGGCTTTCGAGCAAGGGAACCTTTACCTTTACCTTTTAGGCATAGTGAGAATGGATAAAATGACATTCAGGCTACCTTTGAGCCCTAGAACTTATTGTTTTGAAAACGAAGCATTCTGTGTAGGCAGATGTATTTCCAAGGCTAAACCCTTGCAAAACCAGGAGTGCAACCTGGATTTTTGCAGGCAAGCTGGCTAGGTGTCTCCACAGGGTTTATGTCAGCCCAGAGAAGTTCAGTGATCAGCAGCCGCTGAAGCGGGATGACCTGCAGCATACTGTGGTGGCGTTAAGCACTCAGGCATCTGGACCAAGGATCTAAACCTCCATGACATGCGTTTGCAAAAGGCCATGTGCAAAGGTCCTCATATGTTTGCTCACTGTCCCCATTTTGGAGCACATGAAGCTGCCTATTATTAAGTCAAAGCATTGATCCCATTTAGCCCAGTACCATCTGTTCTGACAGGCAGCAGCTCTCTGGAGTCTCACATAGAGGTCCTTCTCATCACCTACTTCCAGATGCTTTTTGTCTGTGTGTGTGTGTGTGTGTGTGTGTGTGTAATCCTGGGGCCTCCTGCATACAAAGCAAGTGCACAGCCACTGAGCCATGGCTCCTTTGAAGCATAGGATAAACTACTTCCAATAGCTCATGGCTATCAAATGGCAAGACATGCCAAGTTGGTTTCCTTAGCCCTCATTTCTGCTCAGAAAGTTAGTTGGATATACCTTGCTTTTAGTTTTGCTGTTGTACAGTTTGTTGCTAATCTAGCTCTCCATTTAAAGGGTTGGCCAGCTGTTCTCGAAATGCTTAAAGTGAGCATCTGAAGTTTCTTCTGATTTGGAATTTGAAACTCCAGTAAGATTTCAGATTTGTACAAAACTTCACTCCAGTGTGGCTGGTGAGCCGAGCACTATCAGCTGTGGTTTTTTAAAGCCCAAAGAGGGGAACAGGAGGATGGCAGTGCAGAACTACTACCCTCCTTAGACAGCAACACAGCAACAAAATTGTGCCCTTGTTTGCTGGTGGCAGTTTCTTGTGGCCATGGGTGGTCTGAGGCTTGGGGCATCCAGGGTAGCTGCCACTGGCTGGGGGGGGGGCTGATTGCCCGTGGCATCATCCGTCTGCCAGAAGGGGGGGGGGAATTCTAGGGGCCCAGAGCCCCTAAGTCCACCCCTGCTTGTGGCTGATTCACACTCTGCCTTTTGCAGGATTCTGTGAGTGTGTCAAGGAAGAGTGTGAATGTTTTACGTGCAGGCTGCATCTTAGCTAGCTCCAAAAATGCCTGGAGTTGGGGCCACAGGCTTCCTGGGTGTGGGTTAGTAGAGAATTAAAGAGCACCATGGAAGAAGAGGAGGGGAGAACTATGTATGCTAACCAAAGAACCTTGAGGAACAGCAGGATAAAAATCCACGAGACAGGAAGCAAATGGCACCCTTACAGCACTTTCCCCCTGCCTTCTCCTAGGGACAGTCTGCAAGAGTGATCCCTTGTCTGAATAACAGAGCCATACAGAGAAAAGGAGGAGCTGGGTGCACAAAGGTTTTGGTCCTGCTAATAAAGGAATGGAGTTTAGCTGTAGCTTAGGGGAAGAAGAAGGTTGTGTCCCAACTGCCACACAGTCTCATAATATTTCCACCAAGCTCAGCCTTCTACTGGTGATGATTGCCAGCATCAGATGCCCTGAAGGATAACATGAATTTCATAGCAAACATGTTCGACTGGGAAACATACCATGTTTGAGAGGTGTGATCACCCACAAGCCAAGTGTTCAACCTCTGATCTGTTCACCAGGCTGCCACTCCCCGTGAATGACCATCAAACAGCTTTGCAACTGTGTGGTAGTGGTGGTGGTAAAGTTTCACTTCCTTCTCTCTTTTTTTTGTATTTTTGCATTTTGTGTGTGTGCATGTGTGTGTGCACGTGTGTGTGCCTGTGCCTCAAAGTCATGGTGACCTCTGGCGACTCCTACTGGGACATGCAGGACGTTCAGAGAAGTGGCTTGATAGCCTGCCTCTGCCTCCCGGCCCTGGTATTCTTTGGAGGTCTCCCATCCAAGTACTTGGCAGGGTCAGCCCTGCTTAGCTTCTGAGATCTGACAAAATTGGGCTTGCCTGGGCTATCCAGGTCAGGGCTCACATCCTAGTCTTGTGGGGGGGTTTACATCTGCATAGTAGGTGAATTGACTCTGCCTGGGGCCATGGATGGGCTGGTCAGGTAATTATGTGACATGAGGGAGGAAGTATGTCTCCCATAAGGTTGTGTGGGACAGTGTAGGCATAAAATGTGGATAATACAGAGATAAATAAATACCCAACAGTAAGACATTTTTTAAAAATACAATGTTTATAATCATTGGTTGACTCTCTGATTTGCTCACGGTTTATATGATTGGCTGCCAAGCAGCATGCAATGACTATTGGTCTGTGGAGGAGGCTGCATGGGGGAAAGTAGGAATCCTACCAGGCTGTGTGAGAATACACACATGTGAAACACTGTCAATTGCACTGTATGGTACTGTACTGTTTGAATACATGAACAGTTACCTGACGAACAGGCTTGTACTGTTCACAAACAGCCAAACTAACACAAAATCTTCTAACTGTTCATGACTGGCAAACAGCTCATGATGTGAATTGGTGGGTATGTGAGCAACCCTAGACGCACTCTCCCACCTAAGCTTCCAAACAGAGAGTGATGAAGACAGCCAGCCAAGCATCCTGGGACTATTCCCAGCATTTGGAAACCAGAGGTATGTTGCCTCGCAGTATGACAATTCTATATTATTTGCTATCATGGCTATCAATGAAACATTCAGAGAGCTGTCCTTTAGCTATTTATATAATCCTTTTAAAGATGACATGCTAGAGGTAATAAATTGCTCAAGTTAGTTATGTTTGTGAGGTGTTACTAGTAACAAATCCAGGGCCAGTTTGCCTGTGTGAATCCAATAAAAACGTTGCCAGTGTATAGAAGCTGAGACTGAGAAACAGGGCTCATGTGGAAAAGAAAGCCCTGCCCCTGGGACTTTACCAGTCCTCCTGTTTCTACTGGGTAGCATTCCAGATGGTCCTGCCTCCATGTTGACACCACAAGCCTTCCCTGATAGACAGGGACAGGTTCTGGAGTGTGTTGTTTGTGGAGGGGGGGGGCACAGCTGCAATGAGATCTTGTTTGCCCTGAGAAGAGCTTTGCCTGCAAGTAGGCTGTCTTTTACACTGCATTATTCCTTGCCTTT